TATCCCCAGCCGAATTTACCACCTGTGGCTCCACCACTTGTGAAGACTTCTCCTTGTCTAAGCGAGAAGACTTTGCCACAACGAGCAAACCCATAGGAGCATCTGCAAAACTCAAAAAGCAACAAATCAAAAACCAATATCACAAGCAAAGGTAAAATATCAAAAAATGTATTACCTTCTGGTTCAACGTTTGGAGGGCTGATGCCCTGGAAAGAAGATGGCTCATCCATTGGTTGTGATGAGGATTCCGGGAATGAAGGTTTCTCTTTAAGTGTAGTCCCTTCATCAGCTGGTTTGGATGAAGCAGCATCATCAGAGGATGATGGAACGGGAGCTGCCAACACCAAAACCTTCAAAGGAAAGGCTGAGCTTTTCTGAGAAATCCGAATAAACCATCAGCACATAAAAAAGTTTCAAGTATAGAAAGGTATGCTTGTGAGTAAACTAATTTAATCACCTTTCTCTTGACAATGAGAGGAGTGTCATCATCATCATCCTCCTCCAAAATGGGAGATGCTGAAGCTGGCCGTTTGTAGCTTAGGGCACTTTTAGCTGCAGTGGGCTTGGCAGGAAGAGAAGTAGATGGACGAACAGACTGTTTAGCACGAGCAGAAGAGGAGGGACTCCTAATGGACACAGGGGTGACCAAAATAGGAGAAGTGAAAGAAATGTCCGGCTGATCCAGTGAATGGAAAGTGCGATTGGCATCAGTTACAAACAATCTGCGCTGCACTGGTGACCAGAGTTGTTCAAAAAGAGGATGGATGGCATGGCAAGGATTGAAGGGGGCTAATGAAAAGTTAATTGTCAAAAGAATATTGTGAGCATCTATAACTTCTGCCTCTGCCTTATTAATGGTGTAGAAGCGATCTATCAAATTTCTAGAATAACAAGGGGAAACAGGTCAAGTATGGCCAAAACCAAGTTGACAAGCAAAAAATTGAGGAGCATATATTTCAACCCCAGCTTTAGCATTGGTTCCAGTCAAAATATCATGGAACAACTCCCTTCTGGTCAAAAATCGAACCCAAACGAGCAGAGAGGTGCTCGCGCTATCCAGAGTGGATGGGGATTACACATAATCTGGAGTTAAAAAGGGAGGAAAAGGAAAGAAAAAAGGAATTGAATTCAAAGTATAAAAGAATGAAAAAATGTCCCTTCTGGACATATTTACACGGCTCAGTTGGCCAATAGCTAGCCCATAGTAGCTAGCGGAAGGAAGGGAAAATGATAGAGCACCAAGTGAGGGAAAATAGGCTCTCAACCACATTTGAGTGAACCAAAGAGGCCCACTGCCAGCAGGAGATGCATCATTCTTCAATTGGAATTGGAGAGAAGTCGTGCCTCTATAGAGGGCGATCAAAAAGAAAGAACACAAATCCAGGGGCCTGCCACGCGCCAATTTGTGCATTATAGGTAATTAGCTCATAGAAGGCTTCATACTTGGCACACACAGAACATATTTATAAAGCCAAATCTGAATAAAGGTCACACGCTCAGCATGGGAAGGCTAAGCGCTCGAATGATTATAACAGCTTTGCAGGCTTGAATAGGACTCGGTGAGTTTTCTGTCAAATTTTGGGGCGACACCAGAAATCAAAATACCAGGGAAAATGGTATCGCCTAAAGGTGGCAAATTTACTAAGGCCCCAACATCCCTTAAAGTAATGGACATGGGACCAAGAGGGAAAATAAAAGTATTATACTCAGAGGACCAAAAACTTAATGCAATAGGGAAAAGCGCTGAATCAAAAATAGGGGGTTGAAGAGAGATTTCTAGCAAATCAGAAATCTTAGCATTATCAAAAATTGCCTTGGTAGGACCATGGTCCACAAGGCGAGCATGCCATCTACAGAAAACAACATTAGATTTAGGCCAAGTGTGAATACCTCTTTCGCGAAGCGGCCTCAGCGACAAAGAGTTTAGAAACGGAAGGCCTTGAGTACAAGGGAACAGCTGGCCCACCGCCACTTGTTCGACGGCCTCAGCGTTATTGAATGAGGGACCTAGATAGAACTCGTTGAGTTCGGCATTGGCTGGTGCAAGGAAGTTAGGAGTTATATATGACCGAGTGAGGAGTTTCTAGAAGTCTTCGAAACTAAGAGAGTCACTAGATTGGAATTGTGAAGCAGCCATTAGAAACGAAATAAAGCTTTGTTGAAGTTTGCTCGAGAAACGTAGCAAAGAAGCAAGAAGATGAATAGTAATATTGCGAGAGAGAAGCGCGAAGCAATGAGGCGTGATTTAGTAGTGCGATGAAATGACGTGTATTTGGGGGTTATAAGGGTTTGTAACGTTGCACCTTTTCAGGCTATGGAAGAAAATAATGATTTAAATTCTTGGAAATTTCAAATGTTGCTGGAAAACACAAAGTGAATATGGCAAAAATTAATAATTGGTACTAATTCTGCCATATTGGGGGGATAATTGTTGACATGCTAAAAGTGCAGCCCAATTCCAATAGCCCAAGGAATGAAACCCAATTGGGCAATTCAGGATAAAGGCTCAAATAGGGTTATTAATGAATACAGTGGAAGCCCACGAATGCGGTAACGCCATCGCCCAAACTTACAAGACGCCCAGGATCTGAGCAAATGAAGTGCCTTGCAGTCGTCCAGAGTTATGACCCTGTTCTCGCCCAAACTTTCGAATCGCCCAGGATCTTAGCAAACATGAGATGTTATGGTTATCCAAAAGTACAATTATCAAAATAGTTATTGGGTAATCTTATCACGTTCCACGATTCAAGGATGTTCAGTTGAGGACGGTTGAACGACAAAAAGTAATGACAGCAATTACAGACGGCAGTTCCACGATAAGTTGGCCACCATAAAGAAAGTGGGCAGTTATAAATCAATTAAGCAGTTTCTAAGTGGTTGATCACAAAGAGAGTATCAAAGGATTATAAAAGGAAGAAAAGACAAAGAGCAAAAGAGCCCAAATTAAACTCTCTCAAATAGAGAATATGTAATTTCAATTTCTTAGTTTAGACTAAAAACATTTCTTTTCAGTACTCGTGTGCTTGCGTCACTTGGAGGCATTTCTGTTTAAGTTCCAATTGTAAAGTTATTGCCAATAAAACACCCCTTTTTGGGACTTTGTCTCAAGAGGTTTGTCCCTTACACAATCGTCTGATCCATTTTTAATTGTTAGCGACTACCCGCGCGAAACAGATACATTTAACTCCATATAATCACATCCAAACACACAATCCAACTCTACTATCTCAATTTCTACTCAACGTTTCGAAACTTCAAATTAGTTTAAAAAATTAATTTGAAATTACCTTCAATTGGTTCATCCATGTGCACGCGTTCCTTGGTTGAACTAGTTTGTGGGTCCTACAAATCGATTGTGCACAGTTAGGGTCTAAAAGAATTTTGAGTGTGCGACTCTCTCTGTCGTGAGGGTTTGGGGTTTCAATTTCGGGGAATCCCATTTAACTTGTGGAGAAAAGAATTGGCTAAATTGAAAAGGAAAATCGTGTTTCTATTTACACCACCTATATGGCAATGATTTGACAAATTACTTAACATTTAATTGATTTAACGTGCCACATCACATTTTTGTTATCCACGTAAGATGATTCACTAACTGATTTCATCTTATGGCAAATGGGATTGAACAGAGTAAAGTTGACCGTGGTCATTGCAGTGAGTAAGTCGTGACATGCATTAAAGTTCAACGGCCAATGAAACAATTAAATTCACCACTGTCATTACTTCCCTCTGTTAGATTCTCTACCAAGCATATCACCTGGCCATTATTTTTTTTGTGCTTAATTTATTAGGAGAGAACTATAAAATTCTCATGATTTTGTTCTTGAGCTCACGTATTGGATGGAAAGGGCAAAAGAGGGTGGATGATGACGGAACGAGTGAAGATTGGGAGGTGTATGTATGTATGCGCTATGTGACAGAGTAAACAAGAGAAATACTTTTAAAGTGGGAAGAAAAGATGGGTTGGTTTAACTTTGTTAGAGAATATTGTTTTGATGGGGGCAATTTCTTCCCCAACTCTCTTTGCAAAGTCATTAGACTCGGGGGAGCGAGGTATCAGAGGATGGGAGTATTGTGTGAAATTTAATCATATTTTTTGTGGATCGACTATTTCCATATTTCATATAAATGCATTAGCTTATATATATATAAGATTTTAGGTTGCCCATTTTAGGTCCATCTTTGGAGCATGATTTTTTTTTTTTTTTTTTTTGGTTAATTTTTTTTTTTTATTTTTTTTTTTTTTTTTTTTTTGGATAATTCTTGTTGTATATAAAAAATTGTACATAATGGTGTCCCCCAACTCACATGAGTGGAGCCCACTTGCATATTTATATTCAGGTGGGCCCCACCCATGTGAGTGGAGGACACCATTATGTACAATTTTTTATGTACACACAGCACTACTTTTTTTTTTTTTTACTACTATAAATCCACGTCAAACATTTTCCTTTTGATCCTTTAAATTTATGAAAAGAGCAAGCTATTCATCTAGAGTATAAATGATTAACAATTTATGTGATCGTCATTGTCACATTGTCCAATGTACAAAAACGCATTCCATCTTTTGTTTACAATGATTACATTGTTACATATACCTATGATCATCTTTACTCTAGATGAATAACATTATTTCTTATGAAGAAATAACATATAGAGACAAAATATCGAATAGAACAATACATAAAAGTACACGCACACTTGTGAATTCAAAGGCAATCGTGTACTTTTTATATCTAACATTAAGAGTGAACAGCAATTAACACTCGAATATTATGGTGTACAAATGTTATAGGGCACCTGAATTTAATATCATTCAATGTCATAGACTTATGGTTAATTTTTAAGGTAGCACTTTTTAAGCGTAAAATGTAAATATCGTTAAAATATGGAATATTTATCATCACACAATGAATTGAGTTACTTTACTTAATAATATTGACATTTTAATATTAAACTTTAACAATAAGTATGCTATCAGTGTCGAACTTGTCTAGATCAAAAGAACTGTTAAATTTCAAGATTGATACTCTCAAACAAACCATCATCTTTCAAGATGTGCTAATATTTTGATTTTCTAGCGACTCTTACCATTTATACCCTAACTAGTATCTCTCCATGTACAGTAGCCAAGAAAACAGTGCAACTACCTTCATAATATCTATATTGTATGAATAATGCTATTCAACACCGGTCTAAGTGGCCACATTTGATAGATTAAATTAAATGAATCATGTGACATTACATTTAAGTGAACCTATCATTTAATGTCATACAGTTGTCACCTAAACTGGTGCTTGACATCATTGGTGTTGAATTGCATTACTCAAATTGTATACAGCCCTCAAGGTGAATAGACAGCTTCTTACCACCTCTTCCAGTGACATTTATCGTTTCATCGTGTTCTTCACTTTCTGGGAGAAATTATTTATAAAAACTTTGTCTGCAAAGGTTAAAGGGAGTTCTTCACTGGCCGCCTCCCTCCAATCAGACCAACCTTCCAAACTACTCTCATCTTTCGCTCGATTCTCGTTATGTGAGACGGGATCCTCCGGTATATCCCGATACAAGTGTTTTAATATAAAAAGAGCAGTATCGTGATCTCTCCAATAGTTCCTATAAAAGTATTCCCATAAAAAAGTATCATTTTTCACATTCCATTTCAAATGTAACAGTTTGTCAAGGTTGGACGTGTGAAAAGATGCAAAACAAAAAGCAAAAACAGGAAATAGTAAGTTCAAGATAGAAAACTTACGTATGTGAACCAATGGCAGATATGAAGGGATGTCGAAAAGTTTTATCCTGCATTACCAAAACCAAAAATAGATCAAAACCAATGCCTGCTTTGACTCCAGATGCATCTAGAGACTTTGGTGCATGTTTGGCTAATCTAAAAATTTGTACCTATGAGTTCATAAGTAAGCTTTATGACAAACTATAGTTATTGAAAGTCCAAATTTGACTCCAGATGCATCTAGAGACTTTGGTGCATGTTTGGCTAATCTTAAAAATTGTACCTATGAGCTCATAAGTAAGCTTTATAACAAACTATAGTTATCGAAAGTCCAAATTATGATGCTTACGTATATTTGGCTAATCTTAAAAATAGTACCAATGATGTATTCAAGTGAATGCTCTCAAATTTGATGCCGTAAGGTTAAAAACACTTACTTGTAAAACATGATCAACTCGGCCATCTTCACTCCCTGTTAGTCTTTCCATCATAACTGAGCCATATGATCTCTCTTCTTTTTCTTGGTTGTTCTCTGATTCATCTGCAGGATAGACATCAATCAACCAAAAGAAAATGTTGTGTGGCTGAATGAGAATTTCACGGCTCTCTATTGCATAAATAATTGTCCTGGACAACCTAATAGCAGAAATTGGTTAACAAAAAACAAAGCATGCTTACCATCCTGGCCTGCCTTTTTCCTTGATTCACACATTGTAAGCACTTTAACCTATTCAAAAAGCATACAGTAAGACCTCGTAGTATTCAAACAGCACATAGAGAAGAGAAAAGGTGAAGAATTCGTTTATGCCCAATCCCTCTACTGCTACAGCTGAAGTGCAACCCCACCAAAAGTGGTTCTTTAATGAGATTATTGCTTTGTTAATTACTATTTGCTACTTCAGGGCTTTATAAACGAATCATGAAGTAATACAACAGAAAACTAGTAGTAACCCACCCCTACTGTGCTCAACTGATCCATCAAAGCCTGTGAACGTGAAGCCAACCCTTCCTTAAACTCCTGTTTGACATAGAATGAGCATGAATAATGAAGAGGAAGCCCAAAACATACATTACACATTGCTACAGTGCACTTACTTGATATCCAACATATAGCCGCTTCCCACCTCTGTGGTAAGGAATAATGACAGGACGTTTGTGTACAAACTCTTTACAGATTAGTGGTTCTATTCTGCACGAAAACCACATTTTTTCTTATGAGGTTTGTTAGAAGAAAAAACGGTTCAAGAAATTCCCAAGAGGGTCTAAGACAGACCTATATGCCACAGGATCATAAGGATGGAAGATGTTGAACATTTGCCGACATACTGGCATCTCTTCATTTATATTTTCATCTTCCCAATACTCTTTTCCTTTGCCTAAAACCAATAGACCAGAAAGACATTTTAGTGAACTTGAAACCGAATGCAAATGAAATATAAATTTATTTATCCGACGGTCACAAGGCAAAATAAATATATATCAAATTTCTCAACTTGAACTAACAAACCAAATGAGAAAGAATTCATTTCTAAATATGTAAAAGAAAGTAGAAAAACCTATATAAGAAAATATAATGCATGTACATATTTTGAACAAAGCAGAAAATCATGAAAAAGAAAATGCCACAGTACAAGGATTTGCATTCTAGAGATGCAAAAATACCAAGAATGTGCACTAAAAAATCAAAGGCAAGTATTCCAAACATCTTCAGAGAGGACAAGAATGGTGAACAGTATGCTAGCATCAGCAGCATGCTGCTAACTAATAAAATTTTCAAGTTGCAACAAATATGTTCTTAACCTCTATCTAGGGGAAAAAGAACACAAGGGCGAAATTTTCCACACAAATTAGAACAGTGAAATATGTTGAATGCATATTGAAAATTGTAACAACTAAGAATGCAATCTAATCTTCCCTAGGATCCAAAAAACTTTTCACGACACTCCTCAGAATAGGATCCCTTGCACGCCTCTTCCTACCCAACTCACCAATAAGAGATAAATGATAATGACATTGATAATGGTAAGTAACTACACAAATAAAAGAAAGCAGAAAATTATAGAATATACAAGCATAAAGTATTGACCATACCGATCCCAATACGAATGTTGCGAAGGGCAAGAAACACGCCTAGAGGAGAGCCAACAGCAAAAAAAGTGTCAACCTGACATAAAAGGAAAAATCGATTTAATGAACAAATCTCGCATGAAATGCAAATGTTGACTGAAAAAGAGAGGTTGGATCGCAAGGTTGGAATAAATACGTAGCAGATTACTAAAGTTACTCTTTTTAGAAGACAGTCCAAGCTTATTCTTGAATCGACAAGAGTCCATAAGGGTAAGTCAACAACGGGAAAAATACCTTAAATTCTAATTTTGTATATCTTATTTGAGGTGTATAAGTCTTCAAGGAATCACTTTGCCCAGGTGGAACCCTCTCAGAATCAGATTGACTAATTACAGTTATTCTTTTCTCCCCATTACCTGGTAGTGTAACACATGCAATCGAAAATATTGAACTAGTAAATACCCAGAACTTAAAAAACTAAACAAGAAATAGTCCATCATTATAGGTGATCAGCTTGAAGCCACCACTTTTGTACCTTTGTTGTCACTTCTAGATTCATATTCTTTAATTTTGGCTTTAAGCAATTCAATCTGAAACACAGGTGTATTTGTGAGAAGATAGAGTAATATATCAGGAGAAATTTAAAAAATGTACAAACATAGACCTCTTGGCTGAACGATTTAATTATCTTGTCTTTATCACTATCAGATGCATCCGTGTCAATTTTATTTTCACTACAATCTACAACATGGCTCATCATGCTAGTTGATTCATTTATCATGTCGCCTTTGTGGGAAACTGAGTCATTCCAATCAATAGAAGGTTCAATATTTTCCTCCGACGATGAGGCATCATTTGGCTGCTGCGAGGCAACATCAGTAGAAGTAGACATATCCGACTCTGACAATGTAGGGGGGCCCATTGGATTACCGGAGTCCTCGGTAGTTTCTTCCACAAGGTTTGGAAAACATGGCTCTTCAGTCATATTTTCTTTATCTACAGAGTCTACGATGCTCTTACTAGTCCTACTGGGGTAAGATGTCTCATTCATGTTACGTTCCTTGAACATCCACTCCATTGGAAAAGAGGAAGACAAAGTCCCTTGATGACAAAGGATATCGTAAGATAGAACACTCCCCAAAGAATGACCATATAAGGAAACCTAACAAAAGTAGAAGCAGAATTGGGTAAGCAGTCTGTTTCATGAGAAATAGTCTTATTCAAAAAATATTAAGAGGAAGAATTTCCCTGCTCTATCAGCCATACATATATACCTTTCCATCATAACCAGGATTCCTCTTAAGAAACTTTAAATACAATCTGTTAAGCTGGTTTGATACCTGAACAAGAAATGATTTCATTCAGAACTTCACAACACATAGATAGTTTATATTTAATGGTGTTAAAATGTAATTCCTGCAGAGCAACCCAGAAAGGGTCAATTTCCTCATGTTACCAAGTAAATTCTGTAATGAGAAAAATGTAATCCAGTGATAATATTCTGAGATGGTAAAACAGTAAAAATTTGAATGTCAACGTGCCATGTTCTAAGATAAAAAATAAATAAAAAGAAAAACATATATCATTGATGGCTAAAGAGAGCCTTAAATAGACAATTTTTTTCTTTAACAGGTTTTGAAAGAGATAAATAGCAGTAAGGAAATTAGCATGAAATAATAGAAAGGAAATGAAAATAATTTCACAACGAACTAGAGTTCATAGACCTATGTGGGGCAACCTGGCAACACAGGATCGATGTACTTGACCTAGATCCGGAAGGTAAAGTATCTGAGCAAGACTTTCTAGTTAGTCTTTGGATTGAAAGAATTAGAGAATCTTTTTGACTCTTTACAAGCAATTTATAAATGTTCCTCAACATGGCTGAAGGCCGAATTAGTCAGGGTCCATACTTTTGCAGCTACCAAGACTGTCTTAGAAGTGATTGCAAATTTCAATACAACATACCGAGTCAATGATAGCCTGACAATAGATAGGGCTCATGTAGTACAAGACATCATGAACTGTAGCACTTAACATAGTACGCAGCCCTCGAACACCATCCAAAGTGATTTTTTCGACTGCAGCTTCACCACTAAGTTTTAAATCCCTCCTCCACTGGCAAAACAGAATAAGATGAAATACAGAGGAAAGGAAACTTTAGTTGAGAATAAGAAAAGGAAGTGCAAAATATTTTCTCATATTCCAATAGAAAAATAGTTAACTTTCATAGAATGGAAAATAGAAAAGAAAAAATTAAATCGAGAGAAACATGCTAAAGAGAGTGCACCATCCACCTGACATGGAATGAAGAGAACTCTTTGAGTGCCATGCTGGTGTGGAGTTAGGTGTCGTTCAGCCAGGTTCGCTGTGATATGGCGAAAATTTCCAACATCGTCGACTAAATTAGATTTCTCCAACCTCTGACCGATACCATGGACCATAAACACTAAATGTCGAACAGGAACCTGCAGAAATAATTATACACACTTGCAGTTTAGAGTATCTTCTACTTCATTGACGTTCATCACTCTCACCAAATATAAGCACCAAACATAAGCACAAATAATGCTCGTTAATAGCCAAGTAAAGCCTGAAAACTAACACTAATACAAAACAATAGCAGCTGATTAATAAAAATAACTGTGGACACATATTGAGTGCTGTATTGAGTTCAAAATACCAACTCAAAAGTTATGGAAGCTGATGAGTAGATCGACAAAGCCTTTTGTTATTCTCCACAAAAATGTAACAAAGCATTAAATATAGAAGATATTAACTTTAAAAAAAAAAAAAAAAACAACAACAACAAGAATAAACTACATGAAAATATTTCATTACACGGCGACAACAAATTGTTACAGCGAAAAGGTGAGTAGACAGGATATAACTTGCTCAAGAGTAAAAACTCCTCCTGACTAGTCAATTGACAATAGAAAAATGACTTAACCAATCCTAATGGGAGATAGACTGACAGAAACCCAATTGAACCATCTTTTCTAGACATAAATTAAAACCTTAATTACCATGAGCTGTTAAACTTAGCAAAATTAACAAATCACCTTTAAGTTGAGCATCTACTTTTTTTTCTTCCCTCTCCATACACAACATACTCCTACGTGGACTAAGCACCTAAACTAACAAGAAGTATCTATTTTGCATGTTACCATCATTATGTTTTATCTTCACCAAATGTCCGAGAAATTTGTTCCCAAGTCTACATCTTGTATGATACATTTCAAAATAAACATATTATATTAGGCCATAAGATGTTACTTTACATACCTGTGAACAGTAATCATCCATTTCCTCCTCCTGCTTCTGACGTAATTCGTCCTAAATAATTATAAAACAATAATCAATCACATTATCAAGATATCCTTAGTGGGTTTTCAGGGGCACTAGGAAATACAGATGGAGGTTTGGATTCCCCAACCGAATATGTAAAAACAAAGTCCACAAATTCATTATCTAAACATATTTTGGTTTTTTATTTTTTATTCATTTATTTTGTTTAACTAGAACTTGTCATGAACAAATAATAGATGGCCTCTATAGCATTACAACTTTATATCATTCCATTTAGAGTGGATCCTTTGCATTTTTGTGATTCACAGTTTGTCCTCACCCCAGTACAGAAGCTAGAGAGAAAGCACCCAAAAGAAAGACACAAGAGTGAAGAGGAAAAGATTAAAACTATGTTATCAAACAACAATTATAAGTAACAAAGAGATACCTGTGTTGGTTTTGGTGATTGGGATGGAGCATATCCACGTCTTAACTTGATGCCATTCTTGCCAACACCTATGACATCGCCAAAACCAGAAGCATCAGCAATTAACCAAGCTTCCCATGTATCATCCTCCCCAGTAAAAAGGGCATGTAGTCCCTGAGATCAAAAAGCCAACATATAATGATATTCAACTCTCATAAACAAAATAGTGCAATGTTATGTTGAAGACAGACAGTGCCATACTGGTGTTGAGCCTTGCAAATCAACTCGAGCTGCAAAGAGACCCGATGGTTGAAAGGTTCTTCGATGCCAAACCTGAAGGGAAAGCATCCTAGTTCTGTCAGTTTTTATAATGACAGTTATTATAACAATCCATACCCCGATTACTAGCCATTAATTTGACTTTAGGACCTTAACGGTTTATGAAGACTATATGTTTGACTTATATTTTTATGTTCTGATATTCACTTATGCATGTGTCGTGTGCTAATTGGATTCAACTAGAGTTACAATAATCAGGAAAATATACATATTCTTACATGACGAGAAATCTTGGTCCAAGTTTATTTGTTTGAAATAGGCAACGCTAAGGTATCAAAGCTCGGGTTAGCCTAAAATCCGACAATCCATGGCGGACAATACCTTCAACAGCGAAGACTCCAGAATATCCGATTCAGCAACCAGCAAAACTGAATCAGTCCCCAACATGAACTCGATTGGAATGGACAATTCATCCTTCCAACTCAAAGTGGAAAAGCTCAATGGGAAAAATTACAGAGTGTGGGCCCAATCAATTAACTAGTGGTCGATGGAAAAGGTGAGATAGGATACCTTATCGGCGAGACAAAGCAACCCACAGAGGCAAACCTCCAAAAACAATGAAAATCTGAAAACTCCATGGTGATAGCATGGCTGGTGAATTCAATGAAGCCTTCAATCGGTAAAACTTACCCATTTATGCCGATCACAAAAGACATATGGGAAGCTGCTTGAGACATGTATTAGGAAGCCAAAGATTCATCCCAAATCTTTGAAATTAAAACCAAACTATGGCAAATGAAGCAAGACATGGAGATGACATGTTTGTGGTAAGAATTGGACTTGAGCATCGAAGAGGTATAGGACAGCCCCAAGGATAGCGCGGTACTTTTTGGGAATGGAAGTGGCTAGATCAAATAAGGGTATGAGTGTTTTACAACAAAAATATGTCATAAACTTTATAACTGAAACTGGGATGCTTGGGTATAAATCGAGTGACACTCCTATAGATGTTAAAAGGAAGATAGACAATATGGGAGAATCAGTTGAAAAGGACAGGTATCAGTGACTGATTAGATAACTAATCCATCCGTCACACGCAGACATTGCATTTGCAGTTAATATAGTGAGTCAACACATGAATTCTCCGAAGGAAGCTTACCTAGAAGCGGTCTACAGGATTACGAAATACCTCAAAGGCTATTCTGGGTAAGGATTGTTCTTCAAGAAAAATGAAAAGAGGGAAGTAAAAATATTCATGGATGTTGATTGGGCAAGATCAATACAAGATAAGAGATCAACTATAGTCTATTGTTCCTTCATATGGGAAAACATGGTAACATGGAGAAGTAAGAAGCAAAATGTAATAGTTAGAAGTAACACTGAAGCAAAATTTAGAGCAACAGCTCAGGGACTATGTGAAGGACCGTGGCTAAGGAAACTTTTGGAAGAACTACAAGTTACAATAAAATTAACAATTAAACTCTATTGTGATAATGAAGCTGCGATCTACATTTCACTCAATCCAATACAACATGATCAAACCAAACATGTAGAGGTAGGCAAATACTTCATCAACGAGAAAGTCGAAGATGGAACTATATGCATGACCTACGTCCCTACCAAAGAACAAAAGGCAGATGTATTCACTAAAAGGCTACACAAACAACATTTCAACGATTTTATCTGTAAGTTGGATATAGTTAATATCTACGATCCAACTTGAGGGAGAGTATAAAAATCCCATAAGATATAATGGGTGATTATATAGGAAATAATTTATTTCTTTATTATGGTGATTACGTTCCTTTTTCTTTCATCTTATTGTATTATAAATTGAGGTGCAAAATTGTAAAGAAATTATTTAAAAAATAGAAAAAATTTCTTCTCAATCCTGTGTTTATGTTCAAGGAAAATAATTTTTTTGGCTATGGTTTTAAGAGATTTTTATTGAACATCTTTTATGTTTAAGTTAAATTTATTGAACCTGCAAACTTGCTTTGAAAAGATTAGTTAATTGTTGTTAACGGTGGTAATCTTTTATTTTTACATACTTGAAGCTCTTAAGTAAGTTTTAGTGATACTCAAGGTTTAAGCCCCCTGGAATCACAGTTATTGATGCCACTAAAAAAATTATTCGAAAAGGAAACCAAGATTTGATGAGAAACGAGCCCAAAAGTTGAGAGGAAGTTTATCACGTTCCACTCAAAAGAAGATGCATATTTATAATGTAAAGAAAAGCAGGCAATCATCCTGCAACTACTCAGTTAAAAATCATCTTCTCTTACATGTAGAGAATTTTGGAGACATGAAAATTAGAAAATCTGAGCGCCACCATAATTTACTAAATCAAATAATTAAAAACTCCAAATTGGAGGTATAATATCGCACCTGGCTGCGATATGCATATTCCAATTGCTCGGCAACATCTTCCCTTAGTGGAAGCCAATCAAGACCCCCTTTGCAGGCAAACCAGTGACCTCGTAACACGCGTCGATTCTCTCCATTCCAATAAACAGGAAAACAGTGTCTCTTGATCAAATCTACCTACAACAAATGCAATTCAACAATCAGGAAGTTCTTCTATACTTTAGTTTCTCTTTTGCGTTAGTTCTTCTATACTTTAGTTTCTGTTTTGCTTTTGTCCTCTTGGGAAGATAAGTGGGTAGCAACCCCAAGAATTTAGGTCGACTGTTGAACTACAAATTGCAGTTATAAGCCCTGCAACAATTAAAGACTACCCATGCCTGTTCATTTCTCCTTTAATAGTTTAAAAAAGAATGCGGCTATATGCACTCACTAGCATAACATCACTGAAGAGAGATGATCATAGAACAGAAACGATATGCACGGGGAACCTTCGAGAGTTCAAAACACAAAAGCACCAAATTTCTCCAATAAGAAACACAGGAAAGAGGCGGTAACGATCTTTGATTAAACTTCAAATGTGGATTGTGGGAAAAGAAAATACAATTTTACAGTTAAAAACATCCAGATGATTCAAAAACTAACAAAATCTGGACTATATACACATGAGCTGAAATAATTACCTGCAAAATATATGGAAGCACTAGGATTGAAAGACCTAATTGGAAAACTTAAGAAACCGTAAAACTTCCTTTCAAGATAGATTTGCTAGAGAAAGGGATGAAGGCACGCATGATATCAGTTGAGAAGGAGATATCTGGCCCAGGCAATGCCACAACATGCAACTATATATAACTGTTAGAATGAAAGTGATGATTGGCAGTACAATTCACGAATAACCCTTTTGTCCTCTTGACCATCACTGTATTATATACATCATCAAGGCATTATGCGGGGCAGGAAAACAACTGTATGTTCCAGGTTTAGTCTCCATTGCTGCACAGGCATATCTTTTTTAAAGGATGTGATTTAGCTGTCATGCATGCTAAAAGATGTACGACAGTATCACTGTTAAAAACATTAAGAGTATGGGACGTGTTATAAACACTTAAAATTATGAACACTTTTTGTCGAACCGCTTTTTACCCACAAATTTCATAGGACCCACAAATAGTATCCACTTTTCCACCTCTCATTTTGATTTGTTTACAAACATTACTATTTATAAACACTTTCCAAACATACTCTAATTGTTCGAATAACAGTTTCTTCAATACAGAAGGAAACAAACAAAAATAATAGTAAGCAATATGACGGATGCAGAAATTTGTTGAGTGTAAAATCCTTTCATACCTAAGTTTCAACAAAATCACAAAATTTACAAGAGTCCTCCAAAATTACATTTTGCCAAAAAGCAGGGATGGCATCCATAACAGTAAATAAAGGTAAGGACTTGTGTGCTTTAGGCACGTCATACGTAGACTTGAAGCAGCTCTCGTTCAAAACAAAGAACACAATCTCAGTAGGGAGACATAGACCAAAACAAACATGGACTATTGTGGTTCATTTCTAATATCCACGAGATGTGGGAGTGAACCGATCAGAGTAGTTAAAAAAATTTATATAGTCAACCAAATTTTCTGGGGAATAAATCTTGGTTTATTGCTATTTGTTTGTGGTAGAACCATGCACCTGTCGCACAGAATAACAGGTTACTCAAGTGCAGTGTCTTTTCTTTTCTGAAATTATCAGAGAGAAAAGAAAAAAGTACATAATACCATATACTTAACCACTGAAAATGAGTTATATGCTTGTTTATATGGATAAGAAAGAAACCTGACAGAATAGTACATGTGCTGTGGAAAAAAATGGCAAATGACATCATACTTCATTTTTCTTTTTGATGTGTGAACAGTGAAAGAGAGGGTACATGAGCAAAAGACTCAAAAGATGGGCATTGTAGAATTGAAAATATCAAAATGCAAGGTCTCCCACGCATAATTTACTAAAGACTGGGTATTTTGGTACTAGGAAAGAACCAAGCTTTAGATTTCATTATGACATTTGACGGAAGACTTACATTCAACAATGTTTTATTTATACGTGATTAGGATCAAGTCAGGATAGAAAACAAGTGGTACATCTAAATTTATTACCTAAAGCTACAATACATCAATTGTATTGAGAAGAAGGGGTATAATCAATAACAAGTAGTTGATTTGATTGTGATCCACGAAATATCAGTATGTTTGATACTCAATTTCTGTGGCAGAACTTGTCCATTTTTCTCCTAAATGTTGTTTCATTCTCCTAAATGTCATTTCATTTCTGCCTTTGAAGTCCCCTCTCCCCTCCCCAAGAAAAGTCAGCTACTTGCGAGGCCAATTTTAGCTCTCAAGTAATTGGCGACGATTTTTTAAAGGTTCTTGTCTCTCCGTACTTCCCAATGTTGATTTCGAAAGGCAGTTTTCGGTTACTTAAAGGTCGTGCCGCCACCTGCATTCCTTTGCTAAAAATGAAAATATAAATTTACCATGCAGTGTTCTCAAAGTTCTTTATTTTTAATGGGGAAATACATATGTATCCCCCAGCTAGCTGAGCCAATAAGAATTAAGTCTACAGATAAAAATAATACCTCATATAATCCTCCCTTCACAGGGACACCAACTCTCTCTTCTTCAATCGAATATAGTCGGTCCGATTGAACTTTCTCTGGAGATGATTTTTCCTTGTGTTGACTTGCTTTAGAGCTGATACTGGGCTGCCCCCTTGGACCTTCACTGCATTCTGCAAACTCTTTCCACCAACTAGAAAGCAGTTCCTCCTCTCTCTGTATATAGTTCAATTAATGCCTCAGTTACATATAAAATACAGAAATTTTAATTTGAAACTGAGTAATAATAGTTTCTAGCATTCTGTAGTTTCTTTCTATGCATGGACTTGAGATAACAGATAAAACACAATGAAATTTATATCATAGAAGAGAAGTGAAATGTCAAGACCTCCAAGAAAGATGCTTCTATAGCAAGAGAATCCCTCATACCAAAACGAAAATAATGACCTTTTCCAACGATTTCTGTTCGAGGGACTGATGCAGCTAGCTCTGAAAACCAGAAAGTGGGAATATGTTAGAAAGGTTTATCCATTGTGCGAATGACTGTTGGCACTAGCTGAACTAACTTTTCCTTGCATCTTACTCCCACAATCAACCACCGACAGTGGTCAATAAATGGGAACAAGATTAAAGAATAATTCCAGAGCATAAATTGCAATAAAAATTAGAACATTTTCCTCCTTGATTAGGACCTTACCATTTATTCCCAAAGGGACCTTGCAAAAGTACCACCTTACATCCCCTCCATCCGATGGACTCCTTGTCTGAGCAAGATACTTCTGCCTACCATCATGCTGCTCAATCTCATGAGCCAACCTTCTTATATTTGATGGTGTATTCTTCAGCATGTCTGGTGAAGTTTCCTCTACCCCACCAGAACTACTAGCAGCGGAAACAGATTGCATAATTTCACCCTCCTCACCTTGAAATCAAATAAAAATTTTACCAGTGATTTCACCAAACTATAAACCAGAATCTTCTTGTCCTATTCTACTCAAGGAAATCTGAAAATGCAGTTTCTTAGTTTTTCCTGAATCAACCTTTATTCTAACTGAATTTCAAATTGACCAAGAAAATAATCACCGAGAAAGGACCATAGTCAAGTAAACTTTAAAAGGGATTTCTTAATTTCCTTTACTTCAATTATATATTTTTGAGGTTTTAAGCCAAGATGGGCATGATCAAACCATCTCCATATTCCAAAATCCTCAAAATTATCAACTGGTACTGTTGAATGGAGAAACAGAATGATCAAAGCAAATCAAAAATCTTTTTAAAAAAAAAAAAAAGAAGCTAATCCCGTGGTAGAACATGGAAAATTCAATCCCCGGAGAGCAAATTCTGAGTGTTTGGTGATTGAAACCCAGAGAAGAATCGAGAAGTGGAAAAGAGAAGGTAAGAAGAAAGGAATTTAGGGCATAATTCCTGCAAAACCCCAAATCTCGATAAAAGTATTGATATATGTTGATTAAAAATGGAAGAACCCAGAGAAGCACCTAGAAAGGGATGACGTTATTTAGAGCAATTTCAATTCCAGAAGTTTCAAAATAAAAATATATATATAAGGAAACGATTTTGAGGGATTTGTTTAAAAATGACATGTTATGGTGGAAAATGCTAAAAGGCCTCTCTCTCTTCTTCTTCTTTTTTTTCTTTTTTTTTTTTTTCCAATTTTCTCTTCCTTTTTTATTTTTATTTTTATTTTTAATGACCCTCTGAAATGTTTTAACTCGAAAATTGCTCCAAAAATAAAAATATAAAAATTTCAAATTGAACGAGGAGTTTATACTCCAAGTCATCATTTTCACTATTCTTTTTAATTTTTGCGAAGTATATGCATTGTGTGCTTTATGTAACATGCTGAAGAGTTCTGTATATTTTAACTTTTCCTAATAATAATTTGATAGTGTAATTAAGTGTTTGTTAGTGATTTCAGTGGGTGTATTGAATGAATGTGCTATGTTTGGGATCTTTGACACAACTTTATGTCTATAAAAATTACAGAATGTCCTGAATCCTAACATAGTAAGATGCCCATTCTTGTAAAGGTCTTTATATTCTGTGCAATTGAGGGAAATCTTTTATGAGTTGGGGAATATGTTAATTGATGACACCTTGGTCTAAGAGCTTTTTTTCTTTGAGCATCACTGACAAAAACACACATGTCAAGATCACTTGAACTATGTTAGGAAGATCTTACATTCAAACGAGATGTCCATTGACATGATTTATTTATGTTAAAGGTACCAATTTTGAATTGGTTAGCTTTAAAAATGCAAATTTGGCTATTTCCTTCCACAAGGGCCAGCTTTGCCTTCTTGGTGTATCCATAGACAGCTACTTTTCAATCTCATCCACTGAACAGAGGTATCAAGGATTAACCTCACGATTGCAGGATGTTAATAATTGGTAAGATTGCTTCGAGACTTAGAAACTAAAAGTAATAATCCTACAAAGGCTGTATTTTATCGGCCAAAATTCTATATAATATACCATTTTATATTCTATAGATGAATTGGAAACCATTTTCATATGTAGTCAAATAATCTTGTAGTTTGGGACGTGTCTATTGATGCCTCTAGAAATTCAGAGAACTTGATAATTGTCGGTTATACATATGCATGCATTAAGCTGTGTTTTCTTGTAGTTGGAAATCGATATTATGACATTAACAGTCTTTAGAATGAAGGATGCTGATTCAATAACCTAAAACTATTTATTTTTACATAATATTCAATTAGCTAGCTGTCATTAATGTTCTGCAAATGTTCAAATGAAACTTTTTGAAATTGCTTACTATGTCCCTTTATCTGGATTCACCATTTCACCTTCAAAAGCTGCTGACTTATATGGGTTTTGTAATTTAACCTGCATGGCTGTTATTTGCTTTTGGTCTGAATGGGGCTTCAGAAAATGATATTTTCTCTATTGATTTTAGTTTGATCTACATCCATTGCAATTTGTTTATGGCAATGTCCAGTCGAAGTTCTCTCATTTATCTTCTGATTTATAGCCTGTACAAGTCTTGACGTGTTTTGTGAGGATTCGTCACACAGAGAAATGGCACTTAAATGAATATTATCACCAGTGAATTATGTAGAGGCGCATGCTTAGAGGTACAGGAAATGAAGTACTCCTGTTGAAAATATAAAAAAGTTAGCATTCTGGACCGAGAAACTGATATCTGCATATATATTGTAGTAAAGTATGCTTGAAATGATTTCTGGTTGATTCATGTCATCTTGATGAATAAATGGCTTTTCCCAACTTCCATATAGGATTGTGATAAAAATGGACGTGCTTATTTTCCTTTTTTTGAAGGTTTATATTATTTGTTCTGTTTCTTGTGTGCCTTCTCTCTCGCATTACTTTGATATATGCTTCTGTAGTTTGCTGTCTCTTTCTACCTGGTTGTTATTGCATATTTGTCCTATTAATTTCAGTTCTCTCTCTCTCTTTGAATTGGGCATGTTATGACTGATCTGATGTTCTAGTAAGTTGTTTCTTGCAGTTCTTTCTTTTCTGCTTATTGTGTATATATTTATGCTTGTTCCTTGCCAATAAGATTATTTTCTTTTGTTTTATCCTACTCTTTTTTCTTCTTTTTTTTTCCTCTTTTCAATTTTGTTTAATTTAATATTAAACTACTCGCCTGACTGAAATCTCAGTGTCATTCCACAGTTTTTTTTAAGAACTTTTATTTGCTAACTAATGTTGCTCTGCCTGCCATTTAAATTTCTTTGCTTAGACCGTAAGGCCATCATCTCTCTCCGGTGGATACAATCACCAGGCTTTTCGTCCTTATGGACCTGCTTCATCACAATGGGGATCTCGTGGTCCTCATCATGCACAGTTCTCACGTTATGATCAGCAAAGAGGGCCATTTCCTTCTCAAAATTCACTGTACCCAACTCCATCATATGGTAATTATCCTCCACAAGAAGCACCAAGAGGCAGTTTCGGTCCAAGTTGGGAGCAGAGGCCCACAGTGGCAATGCAGGCGCCCTCGCCACAGGTTGGTGATTAACTTAATTCTTCTGTTGGGCCAGTTTCCACTTCATTCTTAACGTCCCTACTCATGTTCCTGCCCCTGCTATGGGCTCATGTCCTTCCCAGGAAAATTGCAACTATGGGCAGCCACAGGGTGCTGATCATGGGCAACCAGATTCTTATTCTCAAACACCTGTTCAACACTATGGTCATGGATATGGCGAAGTAAAATGCGATCATCATGCTTCTGCACAACATTATAAGCAAGTGGTGTCTCAGCAAATAGTTTATGCTCAAGGTGGTACACATCCTGGCTATGCTCCACAGGATTAATATGGCAAGGCCCCTACATATGGCATGCCACCACGAGGAAGGAACCCAAGCTCAATCTTACGTTCAGCCTAGACCAAATCAACCTGGAGAAATGCCTTAGCAAGCTCCTGTATCTTCAACTCAAGCATATGGCCAAAATGTGCCACCTCAACATTCATACCCATATGCATCTAGTGCACCAATGCAGCAAAACTATCCTCCCTATGGTTCCGTACCCGCTGCAGATGGATACAATCACCCATCACCTGCTACAGCATCTTCCGCTTATCCTCAACAAGCTGCTCAGCTGGTTGCTGGGTATGGTCTACCTGGTGGACCGGGACTTGCAGGTGGTTATCCTTACCGAACGCCACAGCCTGGCTACACTGAAAAACCTGCTGCAAATAATGCTGTTTACGGTTATCAAGCGCAAGCAGATCTTGCTTATGGAAGTGCCCAAGCTCCATCAGCTTATGCTGCATCAACTCCTGGACAGTTGGGTTATGGTCAACCAGCTCCAACACAGCCTGGCTATGATCGGTCCATTCCTCAGCCAGCAGGGGAGTACGCAGATGTACCCATGGCAGCTGGTTATGGGAAAAGTGCGTCGCCCCAGCCTGTTTATCCCTGATACAATGCAATTCAGACGTGCTGCACATCGCCGAAATGTTGTCAGATCTACTGGAGCTGGGAGGGATATGGCTAGTTACATCATGTTTTTTGATAAGTATTAATAAATTTCTTGTTAAACCTGCTTTTCCGGGAATAGGAATCTTTCGAACGTGGCCTTTTATGACGCTATTTTAGATGGCAAATGTATATTTGGATAGGATGTCAGTTTTCCATTATTGGGAAAAAATAGGCTTAAACAAGGGGTCAAAAATTTGGGCATTAACATCTTTTTGTGAAATAAACAATTTAATCACCCTTGAAGCATTTCGAAAGCGAATCAACGACCACATGGCCATATTAATAGGTAACTTAACTTGCATTTAAACAATATTACCAATTACATTGTGATGAATAAATCCAACCTCGACAAAGTGAAAAACTAAAATGACGTATATATTTGAAAAATAAGGCTTAAAAGGCATCCTTCTTAAGTTAAAATCTGCTCAGCTGATGCACAACAAAATCATGTTACAACCTCATCCAAACTACGTATAAAACAGAGATAATTTGGATCGTTTTCACATTCTTCACCATTGAACGTCAGGATTCTTCATTTACAAGAATGGTCGACTCATTACCGACTCCAAGTTCAATTAAAGATGCCATATCATCCTCAAGCAATATAGGTAGCGGAGAATCCTGTAAATCCATGAAGATACCCGTATTAAATTTAGCATACCACCGGATCTTAACTCATTTTGATTTTAGGAAACCATGCAGTACTCTAGCCAGGGAGTGATATTAAATCACAGAACACTAATCCAGTATTTTTATGTATAACTTTTTTATCTGTGCCTAAAAGTTAGTTTCCATGAAAGTAAATTTTGATGGAATAGTAACGTTTGGAAATCATACAAAACAAGTAACTAAAAAGTAAGTTTGACAAACTTACTTTTAAGCACAAACAAACTTACTCAGTTCAATAAGTCCAACATATTACTAAACCGTAAGATAGAAAAGCACTCAGATATTTTGGGCCACTGCACAAACCTCTTCTTGAAGAAACAAAACTGGCTTAACAGACTTTAACTTGAAGAAACTCTGACACAGGTTCTTTAGCTTTCCGACCTAAACCAAGAGTGGTGTATACAGTATATTCATCGTAAGCCACCAAGAAAGACCACCAATGAATAAACGTGCTATGAAAAAACAGAGGAATCTCACAGTTGTAGTTGCAGGCAATTTTTTCATCACCGGGGGCTTTTCACCAATTGATGCTCCAACACACTTCAAAGAAACAGCTGCATATGGGAGCATGAACTGTAAGATGATTGAATATCTGAAATCATAGAAGCTAATTCCAAAAATAGATTCATACAGATGAGTCCTGAGGCCATTTTTTGAGGGCCTGTTGCTCCTGTTAATGGCCTTTCATCCTCAATTCCATGAATTTTTTTAAGCTCAGCAAACCTACATATCACGGCGGTTCATAGAAATATCCAAGGATAATTACTAATTTACACTCCTTAACTATTAACCCTCACTAATGAAGATAGCTGAATACAAATGAAGAAGAATATTAATGCTATTAAACAGATGAAACAATAGAAATACATATGCTTATTCATCAAGAAGATGGTCGCAGCGAACTGAAGATAACATACTTGAAATATCTGCTCAAAAGTTGTACGGTAGTCTTGAGACATGCAATAATTTATATCTACATTTCACATCTCAGTTGATCTTTTTACTTCTCTCCTTTCTACACTACCTCCATAAGTAAAGGATAAAATAATATAGTGAACTACATTCAAAATTCACCGTATGACGAATAAACATATGATAAGCAACAGCAAACTTTCTCTCACTCATTAAAGGAATCATTCTAGAGATTTGCTTTTCGGAATCTCAAGCTCAAAGATTATAGGAGTCCTTGCACAGATGTGATAACAAATTATAAGCAACAGTAAACTTCTCCTTACATTCGTTAATTGAGTATATCTTTTTTGTCTTTAAGAGCATCTTCGAGAGACTCTTTATTTATAAAGAGCATCTTATGTATTATATATAGTCAAAAATTTTACGCACTCTAACAATGCTCTCTATTTTGACTCTTAATTTTGCTTTTCTCAAAAAATATTTATTGATTTCTTCTCATATTTTATTTAACATAATTTTTTATATATCAATGGCCAATCAATTTAAATGCATTTCGAATGGTATAAGTAGAGTACTGAAATTTGTGATTTATTAAATACAATCATTATACATTAAGAATAGAGAATGGGTTTGACTCTCTAAATTTGAAGCCAAACTCACTCTCAATTTTAAAAAGTCTCTTGAAACTCACTTTTAAGCATTAGTTCCTTAAAATAAAGAGCATTTTATATTTAGAGAATCTCTTCGATATGCTCTAAATTCATTAACTAAATGAGGAGAAAACGTAAGATTATCTAAATAATACTAACCAACATTTGCAGATCAAATGCTAAAGTGTCCTAATATTGACCACACAAGAGCTTTAATTCATGATGTTAAGCATTTAGTGGAGTTCAAACATTGATACAAATCCTGTGATTGGTTCATAAAAGAGAATGACCTTTAGCTATGGCAGCCAGATGAGCATACTCCATTGAAATATATAAGTTGAAAAAGGATGTGGATCCGTACAATTTGCGAACATAAACAATGCAAAGGATGCAATATAAATGGAATAGTTATTGGCAAGCAGAAGGTTCGTCTTTCTTAGGGACTAATTCTGGGAAACAAGCAGTCGAGAATTTGTTAAGATGGTAATGAAACCCTAAGGGAAGTCAATTGAACCGTCCTCTCAGCTGCCTTTTCGCGTACTTTGAGCCAGTTGGAAGCTATCATGTTAGGTCAAGGACGGAATCATGGCGGCTGAAGTTTTGTGTCAGGCTCAAAAGATGGCAACTTGTGGCTGTTCAAAAGAAGTAGTTTGAGTTTGGGCTCTTAATTCATAAGTTACACTTCTTGTTTTGGTAACATTATTTGGGTTTTACCATAGTTGGGCTGCATTATATAGGCAACTTTTGGATTGATTTATCAGCATAATTCAGGTTACTCTAATTAAATTGGTTGTTTAATTTTATTGTGGGTTGAATTTCTTCCTCGGCTTTACCCTAAAATCTGGGAGAAATATTCTTCTATTCAACTTCTTCATCAACAAATTTTGAAGAAGATGATGTGCAGAATGACTAAAACGTGAAGGTGAGAGAGGCATGGGAGTGCAGATCATTGATTTTTGGTTGCTATAAGTTAGAATTTTGGATTCTCAAAGGAGGATCATCTTTGAGGTTTTTTCTATAGACTGTTTGGTGAAATTTCTTCCAATTGCAGCATCTTGGTCAGCGATAAATTGCTGAATTTTTGGCCGGTGTATTGGCATTAAAGCTTTTGTCAGAACACAAATTATGTGTTCAACTAAGTTCTCCCGACAGATAGAGCTCACCGTGTGTGCCAACACATTTCGTGAATTTCCTTTGGAAATTCTTCTTGGGGTGTGAGCTCTTTGGAGTATTCTTGGAGTGGCTTTGGAGTTGTTTTTTGGTTGTTTCTATACTATTTTGTTGTTCTTCATCTCTCGTTGTCACCAGTTTTTATAGTTGGTTGCTCTGATTTGGATTTCTTCTTCGTGGACACAAGTATTGTCACCATCGCAGTTCAAGATTTCAACCCTTCTCAATCTGTAGTCAAGTTTAGCCATGAGCCACTCATAAGTTTATGGTTTTCTTCCAGGAAATGTTCAAAATTTAACAAATGGAGAAAGAGTGAAATAAACAATATCATTGTTATCGAGAGAAATATACTTTCATTATGTACACTGCCAAATCTATTAAACTACCTACGCATCCGTTACACATAAAAAAATCCAAATTTGAACTGCCAAATGCCAAAAGTGCAGAGAAAATATGACAACCACATAGTTTAAAATCAAAATGATGTGATTGCATAAAAAGATTAAGAGAATCACATACCTCAATGAAATGAAATTTCATTGGAATGATCAAAAAATAAAAATTACCTGGGGTGAAGCCGTGTAATTTCTTCAGGGTTATCATGAAACTTCGACATGACTAATCGAACATAGCTGCAGTCAGAAGAAATTCAAGTGACGTCATGCTGAAAGAAATTATTCATAATATAACAGGAAAATTAAAATTAAATAAGGTAGCCTCTTTAAAAAATTTTGTGATATTCCCAAAGAAAACAGCACAATTCATATCCCACACTTCTTTCTAGCTAAAAAATTGTAGATTTTGGTGTGCAACAGTTTGAAAACTAAGTGTATTGTATGAAACCATTACAGGTATATTTATGGAACCAGATGTACAAAAATCACGAAGACTGAAATATTTAAACAACTAGATATGGTTGATATGGAGGAAAATTGTGGCTATTCCTTTGTTTTTGGCAGTACAGATGTTCAAAAGGTTTAAGCTCCAAAAATAAAGCTGAGGACTAAATTCCTGCGAAAATAATTGCTTTGATTGTAGGAACTCGTGGACATTGTGACAAATCACACATGGTGAAGGATAGCTTTTTATCTGGATAGGGGTTCAGAAGTGGAAATCAAAAGCTTTAAGAAGACTTGTGGTAAAGAGTTGCTAGCAAATTTAATTAGAGAGAGGGGGGAAAAAAGAAAAAGAAATTAAACAGAAGATTTAATGCCTAAGAGTCACATAAGGCCTTCAGTAATTTTAACAGTAGAATATTCACAGAGGCTTTTCAAAGATGAAAATGATCCAAAACAAATTTTATGGACCAATTAAATCTCTTAGGATTAAAGATAGAAGTCACCAAGTCCTTTCCAGATATGAGTATAACACTGATCAAATCCCATATAAACACGTATTGATCAGGAGAATGAATAAAATGAAGAATCACTTTGTCAGGTATTCATCAAAACCTTGGAGTTTTCACTTGGTTTCTCATTTCAACTATAAATGCTTGAAGGGCTTTGAAATGTGACGATTAGTGCCTAACATGACATATTAAATTACACAGAACATAGACTAGAAAGTCAAAGCCATACCGAATTTCAGAGTCCTTTCTTTCTCGAGGACTAACCTGGAATAACAGGCATATTAGAATTATGATAACTGCAGAGACCACAACCCCAAACAAGTATCGCTAGATTTCAGGAGTTTACCTCACTTCCATTTAATGTTTCTACTTTCGCCAAACGGGCAATCAAAACAAATCTGGGTACACCACCTTTCCCTATATCTGCTATAGGGTTCTCAGAAAGCCTTATATCCTAGATAAAAATAAACCACAACTATCACGTATCAATAGAGAAAGAGTAACATTTATGATCGATGATGAGGAGCCAGAGAATTTCTTGTATAGTATACCAAATCAATAATTTAATATAATGCATATACAATAATAAACTTTCTTTTTATTAAAGGTACAGAATTAGATAGGTAGATGAGCACATAGTTGCCATGAATTAACAGAAACAACTAATTTTCTGAATTGGTACATTGGAAACACAACATGTGATTGCATCATTAATCCCTTACCCATCCTCTCCACCCAAATTGAAAAAATGGAAGTGATTAATCATCATCCATTGCCTTGTTTAAGAACCATGTGAATTCTTTTAAGTAAATGGGCCACAAAGTGTTATGTTCGATTGTACTCATTCCTAGTAATACTAATACTTGCCAGCATAGCAAGTGATGGAAATAAAGAAAAGCCATGCAAACTGGATCCTAATTAGGTGGAATCAACTTATGAATTAGGATTGAGCTTGGATTGTTCATGCAAGGAAAGGACATCTATAAAACCTACACAAGATTTAACTTAATTTTAGCCTTGTATCTGTTTGAAGCCAGGCATAGCATCTAATGCAATCTGATAAAAAAATTATGAGAATATGACACTATCCACATGAAGGTAAAACTGAACACAGTTTCGTTCTCTCCTTATACTACGGCTCACCCTGTTAACTCCAACATGTATTATTACACAAATAATAGATATCAGATTCATCATACATTTTACAATGTTACATATCATCCCTCACGGGTAGTATATAAAAGTTGTACGGACAAATAAAAGAATCAAAATATAATGCTCACCACCAAGTTGGGGAAAGAGTTAAGTGAATCAATGGAGTCCAGGTCTTCAATTTTGTTACCTCCTAATAAATTAAGCTAGCAATCAATACCTTAAACAACAAAGATAATAAGAGGGGAAGATTGGAAGATTGGTAGCACAAGCAGTTATGATATTACCTAAAAGAAGGCACTGCAAAGTATTGAAAGGCATAGGATTTTTGTCAAGAGACTCGCAACCATTGTCTAATTTATGTGTTGTACCATAATCAGGGTACCATATGCGATTCAAATCATTCTTGTTCAAAAAAAGCTGCTCCAGGCTATGAGTGCAATAATAAATTTCAATCATTTGAAAGACCATACAAATGTTAAGGGCATAAAACCAAAGACCCATTACTATTTCCTTTCCAATACCTCTTCAACTGTGAAAGCTTTAAGATTTCTGCCCAATCAGCTATATAATTGTCTTCCAGGTTAAGACAGCGCAGAAAATCAAATCCTTGGACAGCTGTGGTAGACACTGCCTGGAAGAGAGGGATGCATCAATTTTGAAAAGGGAAAAAAAAAAAAAAGACCATAAAAAATCAACAGTTTATATTCATTCTCAGTTGCAGAAGATAGAAGTTTGATATGACAAGAATAACAGAAGCCATCAACTCATTTGAACTGATTCTAGAAAGTCCAGAATATCAAAAGTAGGATCCACACTTATGAAATGTGCAGGTAGTAGAATATTCATACTAGTTTCAATTCCCAATAAAGGCCTTTCTGCATGTTTCATACTGATTATTATTATGCCGGATGCACTATAACCAGCACAAAAAGTACTTTTAGCTATCTAGATAGTATCATAATTATAGATGTTCCGATATGGGTATTCGTTTAGTGCTTGTTGAGAATATTTTACCATATCACTCATCAAATGCTATAGGCCTACAGCTATATTGAATAGAATACCAAATTAATGAACTGCTTCCCACACTACCCTTGCCTCTCGAGTACCAGCCCTAACTCGAGACTCTCATCAGCATATTTTGATAACATATGGTACTATTTTCAATTTTTAGTACGTGACAAATCTAGCCACAATTTCTTCCCTTCTATATTTTATTTCTCTACTAAAATTTCCCAGACAAATATGATCTTATGAACATTTCTAGGAAGCCAAAGCGATCGTTTAATTTCCAATCTCTTGCAGCGTGTATAAAAAGGTAAAGAAATAGTTTTACATTTCATATTTAAAATGACCTTGAGGTGCTTGAATCAATATAGAGCAAGCAGCTATATTTCATCATCTTTAATTTGTTTACTGTTAAAGATTGCTGGTAGACTAGTGTGTTGCACCATATGAATTCTCCATCATCATACAATAGTTTCAGTTCAACAAAAACCAATCACCATAAAAGAAGCACAGACCGTAATCTCTCTCAATTTGTTTCCCAAAAGATGAAGCTCTTCAATGCATGGCAGTGAATCTTTTAGCATTTCGACCTGCCATAAAACATAAACCATTACAAGGAATGTTCTAACCAAATCAGGTAACAAAAGAAAAGAAAACTACACAAGCCAATACCTGCTTCCAGATCACGCCAGTGTGGTTCAGAACTAAAATCCTTATGTTGTTCAGCTGAGGCATAGTAGTTATGTCAGGCGACAAGGAATTACAGGATAGATTGAGAGCAGCAAGAAAAGGTAATGCTTTGCAGATGATGCCAACATCCTGCAATGAACGCCCAGAGAAAGTAGTCCTTCATTCAGCCATGTATGGCACATAACTCGCAAAAAAAATTCAATTATGAAATTGAAGAAAGTGACAGTTGAAGCCCGTCAATAACAATAACATTGCGAAGTTCAGAGCTGAAGAAAATTAGAGCAGTAATAAACATCAGCATATCCTAATTTCCTGATTCTTTGGTTCGAAATTCACAATGCCTTTTAGGCCTTCCGAGGACCTTTATCTAAAAAAAAATTCCTCATAAAGGAGCAAAACCATGTAGAATGAGAGAATGTAATCGATTTACTAGCTGAAGCAGTAAGACATACATTCCATTCTGCAAGAAGATTTCCAGTCAAATCAAGCTCCTTTAGATCTGCAATAAAATCGTTTCCATTGGCATAAAGTTCGAGCAAGAAAAGTACAGTGGTATTGACGAGGAAGGTTCCAAGAAGATATATCCAGAAAAACCATAAGAAAAAACAAAAGGCTTGATAACAAGCAGTTTTCCAGAAGTGCTAGTGTGCATGCCTTGAAGACTGCTAGGTGCGAGGTATTCATTGTTAGCCTCAAAGCTTAAGCTTTGAGTGCTCCTGGGTTGATGCCTTGACTTAATGAGGCAATTGGCTCAAGTATAAGCCTTAGGGAACCTGAGGCACGTGCTCCACAGTTTTTTTCTGTTTTGTTCTTTGGGGCAGGTAATTTCCATATCCAGAATGTTCTGCGAGTTTATTGGGCTGTTTATACTGACCTGAATG